GAGAGAGAGAATCCCAAGCAGGCTCCACACTCAGCATGGAGCCTCATGCGGGGCTAGATCCCACTGCCCTGGGATCATGACCTGAGCCGAAATCGAGAGTCAGGAGCTTAACGGACTCAGCCACCCAGGCACCCCCATCGTCAACTATTCTAATTCTACTCTCCTAACCACCATACAGAACCATTATTTATAAAACTAAGCTACAACCACAGACTTAATTGATCTCCACACTTAAATCTTCATTCAAATGTTCCATCCTCCTTAAAATCCATTTTTTATGTGTCATTCTCATCCACAGTTGCTTACAGCTTGTCCAAACTACTTGAATGTCATCCTCAAGTCTTCCAATAACCCATATCCAAACTCTTCAAAAGGTGTCTCAAAACTCACCCCTTCCTGGAAACCTTCCCTGATTAACTCCATACCACTCAGATTACTTCTTTGCCCCGAGTCACCTCGGCACCTCAGCACTTAAGTATTCTGTCATCCTAAGGGTAAAATGTGATCAGTGAATAGCAATACCAAGAAATTTCTTCCACAAAATTATTTCTACTTCCTAAAGAACGGTCCATTAGCTATGATGCTTTGTTGAGCTGGCTAAGAAGGAACTATCGTATACAACATATGCCCTCTTTGGTTTCCGTCCTCGGGACTTCTTGTCTGTCAAGAAGTGCTAAACTGTTCACAAACCTCTGTCCTATCCTCAAGCAGAAACTACATCTCGGTGCTTATCACCTCCTTGAGGCCGTTTAAATTTTCTGGACATGTGGCAGAGGGCCGCTTTCTTTTCTTCTACCTCTTCTCTGCCCCCAACCTCTGCCCACATCCCACAAATAAAAATTCCCAAAGGCATCAAACAGAAAGGCAGCAGTAGTGACACACACATACCATGTGTTTCTTTCCTCTAAGTGAAAAAAAACGTTGAACCTACTTAGGTACAAAACTCTTCCCAAGGCTAAAAACCTCCCCAACAAGCATGATACCTAATCAAATTCTACTGCGTGGAACTGGTCGATCCTACAGAATTGTACTTATGTGTTAATTGTCACTGTGTTACTGTAAGAGATCTTGCATCATTTTTATGCTGTATTACATGCGCCCAACAAGATAGTTAAATTCCCCTACAGGGCAGATTTTCTGAAAGTATCTTCATGCTTTAAACCAACATGGTCTAATTTTTTTTAAACATGAAATTAAACGATTCCGCACTGCCATCCAATCGAAAGCAAACAATATTTGTGCCTTTACTTTTGATAGGGTGAGTTTGTGTGCTGCTGTGGCAAAACAATCAGATGAACTGTCCCGGGATGGTGGGGG